TAATTTCATCCATCATCCAACTCCCTACCCTACGTATTACAGCAGAGACACAAAATAATCAATGTGAAATGAAGAAAACATCATCAACCCGATTTTAAACTTCCTACCCAAGCAGCTGTTTCACCAACGTAACATGAACTGACTTTACCCCCACCCCCGGCACTGTTATAAACTCTGGAAGGAAGAGGAATATGGTCACCTTAGAACATAAGAGAAGCCAATGTTGGTTCAGACCAATGGCCCATCCAGTCCTACACTCTGTCACACAGTGGCCAAAAATACCAGGTGCCATCAGGAGGTCCAGCAGTGGGGCCAGGACCTTAGAAACCCTTTCACTGTTGCCCCCCCTCAAGCACCAAGAATACAGAGCATCACTTGCCCCAGACCAAGAGTTCCTATCTATACCTTGTGGCTAATAGCCACTGATGGACCTCTGCTCCATATAGCTATCCAATTCCCTCTTGAAGCCGTCCATGCGTGTAGCCGCCGCCACCTCCTGTGGCAGTGAATTCCATGTGTTAATCGCATGGTGGTTAAGTGCGTGGACTCTAATCTGGGAGAACTGGGTTTGATTCCCCACTCCTCCACTTGCAGCTGCTGGATGACTTTGAGCAAGCCATAGTTCTGTCAGAGCTGTTCTCTCAAGGACAGTTCTGGAGATAGCTCTCTCAGCCCCACCTACCTCACAGGGGGTCTGTTGTGGGGAGGGGGAGGGAAAGGAGATAGTAAGCTGCTCTGAGACTCCGAGTGAAGGACGGGGTATGAATCCAATCTCCTCCTCTTCTTCGATCACCTTCTCTTTACCTGCCCCCTTTCCAAGGACTAACAGTACAGAGGAACTAATTTCAACTGGGGGAAATAAATTAGGTTTGGAAGGATCAAAACTCTTTTCCCCCAACTCCAACTTTGCAGCAACTCGGATACAGTCTGGGTACTTCTTGTGACCTCTGCTTTCCTTTTAGGCATGGAAGCGCAGTGTGATTTAATCTAGTTAGGAAGCAAAGAGACAATTTCACTGAACCATTCACCGCAAGTCAGGTTGCCAATCTCCAGGTCAGACCTGGAGGTGTCTCAGAATTGCAACTGATCTCCAGACGACAGACCAGTTCCCCCTGGAGAAAATGGACTCCTTTGGAGGCTGGACTCTCATGGGCATTATATCCCGATGTGGTCCCTCCCCGTGCTCTGCCCCCAAATCTCCAGGAATGTCCCAACACAGAGGTGGCAACCCCAGCCACAAACCATTCCAATACAGTCTTACCCTAGCAACTATTAAATTTCTATATCCTGTTGCTGGACCTCCAGAGGAACTGGTTGGCCGCTGTGTGAGACAGGATGCTGGACTGTCAGCATTCCAAAACTGCTCCCAGGCTCAAAAATACTGATCCAGCAGGGTTCTTCTGATGTAAAGGTAAAGGTTCCCTTGCTCGAAAGCCAGTCGAATCCGACTCTAGGGTTGCGGTGCTCATCTCTGTTTCAAAGCCGAAGAGCCAGCGCTGTCCGAAGACGTTTCCGTGGTCATGTGGCCGGCATGACTAAACGCCAAGGCGCACGGAACGCTGTTACCTTCCCACCGAAGTGGTACCTATTTATCTACTTGCAATGTCTTGCTTTCGAACGGCTAGGTTGGCAGGAGCTGGAACTAGAGACGGGAGCTCACTCCGTCATGCGGCACACTCGGGTCTCGAACTGCTGAACTACCGACCTTCCACAGCCTGCAGCTCAGCGTCTTAACCACTTGAGCCACCGCAGCTCCTCTTCTTATGTATGTAACAGCAATACCGTGTGCCCATCCTGAGGAACGCAACGTCTAGCGGGCATCTGCCGTTAGACCCAACAGTTTCTATCTTCAAAACCACACTGCCAATGTTTTTGTTTTCCCTTTTAAAGCCAACCTCAACTTTTGCAGTTAACAGCACTTCTCAGTTTTCTGGCCGAGCATCAATGTTTGCAGACTCAAGTGTGTCCCTACACCAGCACACACTTCCTCCCGCACAGTGATATTTGAGAGGCTGCTATGTTACAACACACAACCTGGGACATCTGCTAGAAATGCACTGAAGTCATTGTGCGCCCGCTGACAGAGCCTACAACGGTTGACGACGAGCCATAAAAAAGTAAACCTTTCACAGCTGAAATGCAATTCTAAATGGCCAACCGCAATCAGCCGGAAGTGCTCAGAAAGCCAGGATAACCCAAGCCCTATCACGGTGATTACTTACCCATGTCCTGCATAATTTACCCAAGTGTTTCTTTTCAGGCCAGTCTATGGAAAACAATTTACACTTCACCAACATAACTGTAGCCCTATAGCAAGGGTCCCCAATCACAGAGCCCATGGGTGCTGACACCTTTCCTGGAGCCTGCCAAATGAGGTCAGGAAGTCAGCCGGGCCAGGTGGGGGTTTTGCCCAGCAGGGCTTCTGAGTATATGCTCCAAATACTCACTCTGCATGACATCATCATGGTGCGTGCACCAGAAGACCCCAGGATGGACCCTAGAGTCCCAACCAGCAACCAGGTAGGACCTGGCAGCCCTACCACCAGTGTTCCCTTTAAGATGAGCCTAGTGTGACCTAGCTCACAATTTTTTAGCCTCCGGCTCACACATTCTTGTCTTAGCTAAGGACGGATGGCTCCAGAGCAAACTAATTTATTGCAGTAGCCGAATTACTCCCTCACAACTTTAATGCCGGTAGCCCGCAAAGTAGGATTTCTGCTCACAAGACTCCACAGCTTAGAGGGAGCATTGCCTACCACTACCCCATGTCAGCATTCCAAAGGTGCTCCCAGGCTCAAAAGGTCTGGGGACCCCCGTCCCATAGGATGCACTCCAGTAATTCCAGGATCGTCCACTGTCCTGTTCAACAGCAGTTATAAGGGTGTGATCTTCTGCAACCATACTTGGAAGTAAGTCCTATCAATCTTGATGGGACTACTTCCAGAGTACATGAAATAAACTCCAGGACGCACGGTAGCCCTCCCACTCTGTAGTGCAAGAAGCTGGCTTTGCAAGATCGAAGGGGGTGTGTTCTTTTGTCCAATTCACAAGGTCAGTTTATCAAGCCGGCAGACAAATGTTGTGTTCAAGAACCATTTCTGGATTGCACTTATAACTAGTAACCAGGGGTCATTTCGTAGAAAAAGAGGTGCAGGAGCTCATTAGCACAACTCATTAGCATGACTTATTTGCATATGCCACACCCCCTGACATCACCGGAAGTGTGTCAGAAGGCAGCACCCACCACTCAGGCTCCACTGGACTGTTTTGGATTGCTAGCTATTGGGGGGGGGAGAGAACGTGCCGATCTGTCCTCACAGAGGAGGGAGAGCTTGGACCTGAATAATTAAAGGTGCCACTGGACTGTTTTGGACTGGGGGGGGGGCTCTGCAACTTACCTGGCTGCTTCTTGCTCTGACTGAGGGCTTCTGGGAGCAGGGGGTGGGGCTTGTTGCATGTGCCCGCCCCCTGGGCTCTTTACTGCCGGAGCTCCGCTCCTGTGCGCTCCTGCAGGAAATGACCCCTGCTAGTAACAAGAATCGAGAGGGTTTTCAGTAACGACAAACCTGGAGCTCTCGTGTGAAATGTGTGGTGTGAGTCCCGGACCTATTTACCAGTTTTTTATTCAGCATTTCAAGGGAGATGTGGACACACTGATAAAGGGGAACAGGATTGAACCCACTGACCATTCACCTATATGCATTAAGTACAATTTGGGAACAACAGCCGCTGCACACAGGAAAGTGTCTGTGTGTCTGGGTACTATACAAACTAGTGGGACCACCGCAATGGCCCAAGATTCCAATCACAGAGATAAAACATATCTGTACAGATTTAGGTTCTTGAGCACAAGTTGTACTGAATATGCATCGGGGGAAGACATAAGACTAGCAGATGCTACCTTGTTTCCTCTCAATCTGCATTCACCATCTGTGGATTATAATTTGTGAACAATCCTTTCACTCTCTCACACACACAAAGGACGGTGAAGATGCAAATTAAAACAATGGCCTCACTTCACTGCAGCAAATAAAGGAATATTTCACAGACTCACTGGCCCTCAGTTTACCTGGCAGTAAGAAACCACAGCATTCCCCATACAAGGATTAGCTGGTGAGCCATTTTATCAGGAGTGTGCTGGGTTTTTTTAATGGAAAACCATCACTGCAAAACCATTGCATTCCAAGAAGGCTGAAGTTGGTTCCCTATTCCCAGTCTCTTACTCATTCCTTATCCGTGACTTATTCATGAATTCAACCAAAAACACTAGGGAGAGTTTGAAAGCTCTGAACCCCAAAAGGGCTGGACCGCCATATATCATACACCCCCATGTTCAGGGAACTCTCCCCTTCTAGGGGACATGTACTGCTTCTTGGTCCAAAAAGTGGTTCTTGTACCAGCTGCTCCAAAGCTGGGTGCCCCCAGGACAATCACACAGGCAGACACTGGGGCCTGGCTGCAACCCAAAACAATCTTTGGACCACCCCAAATGACACGTCCTCATGTTCTAGCACAGGAGTGTCAAAAATGCGGCTCAGGGGCTGGATCAGGCCCCCAGAGGGTTTCCATCAGGCCCGCAGTAGAACTGGCCATCTCCTGCTTCCAGTTGGGCTGCTGCTGCTGCAACATAGCGTGCTTCGCCAGACTCTCTTAATCACTCAGCCAGTTCATGTTTTAACCTGGGTCCTAGACTCAGAACGCTGAGCATTAGATTTCTGTG